AGAAGCCAGGAGCAGGACCCAAAAACCGAGGCAGAAGCTGAACAGACATGTCTATTTTGGACCTTATCGATTTTGTCGGGGCTCTGAATCGGTGGGCGGAGGCGGGGGCGTGGCCAAAGGGTAAGGGCGGCGCTGAGGGTCTGAAGGAGCCCGGCTAAATGGGCCAACATTTAAATGCAACAATTGTCATTAAATTTTCATTGGATTTTCCTCGCTTTCTGCTGGAAAATTATAAGCTTTAAGCGACGGGGAAATGTTAGTTAAAGATGCGTATTCGTAGGTCAAGTTTTGGTTGGGTTTAAGTGGTTAATTTAGGGGGAAAATTGTATATATAGATTGATAATAAAGACCTTTTGGGAAAGCTGATCTTAAAGCTTAAAGAGTTAGTAAAAAGCAAAGGTATATCTCTGTTTCTTGATCTCCTTTTCCCCATTTTTATAGTAATAACTTACTTAATACGAGGTGTGTTCAAAAAGTAAGGTGACTCTTCAAATTTCGCGAATTTCAAATTTTTCGATTATCGAAACCTTTTAGAAGTTATACGAGGTGTGTTCAAAAAGTAAGGTGACTTTTCAAATTTCAAATTTTTCAAATTTTTCGATTATCTTCAGTTTTGGGAACAAGAAAAAGTCACATGGGGCCAAATCCGGTGAATATGGTGGCTGAGGCATTATTGTGGTGTTGTTTTTGGCCAAAAAATCCAAATCCTTTGATCCATATTTTTCGATAGCAAAAAATCGCCGAGCTCGCAAAATAACTTGTAACTTTACGCCTCTCACAACCAAACAAAAGAGGATGTTCCATTGAAACTTGGTACAGATGTTAGGGAAGAGTGTACCAATATAACAAAACAAAAAAATCGATAATCGAAAAATTTGAAATTCGCGAAATTTGAAGAGTCACCTTACTTTTTGAACACACCTCGTAAGATTTGTATTTACAAATTTTGTTATTTTTATACATATATATCAAGTGGTAGTTAGAAAAAGTGAATGAATGAATACATTTCCCTACATCAACAGCAGTTAAGGCATATCGCAAGATGAGTTATTAGATTCTTTAGTTTTACCACAACAACTTGGCCTGGAATCTGATGAGACCCTTAATCATCTCCGCATATTTCCTCAATGGATTTTAAAATATGATTCATATAATTTATGTTAGCTGTTAGCTGGAGATTCCTCAACCAATTGAAGAATTTCCCCAACATCTGCTGGGCACTTGGCTGTATGCTCCCCCCTTCTGGGCGGAACTTTAGCGATTCGAACATGTGGCAGCCACGAGCCACGAGTTCCCAAATGCGTTCCGTTGTTTTATTTTATGAATTCCATTTTCATTAGGAGGGAATGCAGCGCCACATAAATTTGCCATTAACGATCAGAGGAGTGGAGAGGGAGGGGGCGTGTTAATTGCCAATGGCAGCCGCAAAAGTTGAGTTATGAGTCAAAGTTTTCCTCTGTTGGGGAAAAAATCGATGGAGGCCACTTTAAAATGGGCGCAAAACAAGGACACTCGATATGTATCCAACAGATACGTTTTGTATCTCACCGCTCTCTCTCTCCCTTGCACATAGTATTTACCTAAGCGAAAAGTCGCCCCAGGATGGGGAGGAACAGGATGTCCTGTTCTGGCACTTTTCCTCCTCGCCAACTCTTTGCCTTGGAATTTCTTAGTTTTCCTTGGGAAATCTATAGATTTTATGCCGCCCCAACTAGGAATTCTTTTGCTTCGTTTAAGTGTGTAAATGTTTTCCCGCTCGAAAGGAGGAAAATTCGTCGTCGGCTCCTTTTTCGCCAGCCGGGGAATTTGTTTATCTGTGTGTGTGTGTGTGTCTATCGGTGAGCGAGGCTGTTGACATTGGTTTCCAGTTTACAAAGAAATCGATTAAACGCAATCGGGTAAATGGCCCAAAGTGCCAAGGAGCCAAAAACTGCCCCCTCCCCCGCCCACAATCAGACCGCCCGAGACAAGGTCAACTCTTAAATGCCTCGCCAGTTTTCCGGGCGTGTGTGTGTGTGTGTGAGCTTTTCGGCAGGAATTTAATTTCCTTCAATTGGGAAAACTAAGAAAATAAGGCTGCTGGAAGAGGTTATGTGTTTTCTATGAAAAACAAACAAAAATACAGAAAGGTAAGGAAAATGGGAATATATTTTACTCTTTACTCTTTATATTTTCCACAAAAATAGAGATAAGGAAACTGCAATAAATACAACAGTAAAGGCCAATTGACCAGAAACCAGCATTCAAATTTAAAGCAAACCCGGAAAATGTATTTTCAATAAACTTAAATAAACTTTTGAGGAAGAAAATATACAAAAAAGTATAGAAAAAGGAAAAGGAAATTCTTTGCCATTTCCATACTTGAAATAATAAGCCTAAAATAACTTGGAAAATCAAGAAAAATATAACAAACTAATGGAAAATTTGAAAATACAACACAAAACCAAACTTTAAACTTAAATAAAACTTAAATATATCTAATACAGAGTTACCTTACCATTACTCATACTGAAAACTAAAGCCAAAGAATGGAAATTCAAATTAGAAACTAGCCCTTTTGGGAAATCCAAACCCTAAGTGTCATCGTTAACATAAATCAGCGGGAAAACATATCAAAAACCCATCGAGTTCCCAGGCAGACAAAAAGAACCTTCGGTACTTGGTTTCGGTAAGTACTTAATTTTACGGCAAATGAGGGAAGAATAAAATAAGAATAAACAACATTTCCAGCTTTAATTTCAATTTCAATTTATTTTATTACATTTCCAGCCGCCGCCACACGTGAGATATAATATATCGAAGAGGCCCCGGCCAACGATCTTGATTAAACGAGCGACGTGCATTTCACATTTTATTGATGGTCGATGGCTGAGTCGCTTGAGAGTTTTCAAATTAGATCTAAGGGTTAGGAGGGGCGGCTAATGAGTCAGGCAATTAGACGTGACCAAAAAAGCAGACTTATTTTTATATATTTAACCCTGAATTGGTAATAAAACTTACATTTTCCATAACTTTGATCATAAATATTATTTCCCAAAAAAACCAAAAAAATGTAAAAACGAAACCAGCTTTCCCTTCAGATCCCACCGACCTGGCATCTCCCATAACCTTTCCTAACCTTCTCACGTTTTCTTATCACAAATGCCAGGGAAAAATGAGGGAAGCCAAGAATGATCTTTCTTGAGGTTTTTCTTCTGCATGAGGCTGAGGGTCAAGCCAAGATTTGTCGCATCGGCTGCTCAAAATGTTTAGTAATAATTTATTCGAAAATTTAATTATGTTTTCTGGTCGGTTAAGTTCTTTGATTTCCCGCCCCGCTCCCCCTCTCTTAGAGAGTTTTCCTATGATTTTTCTTCTTAAACTTTTCTCTGTTTTCCTTAACGATTTTTATGATTGTGGAGACAAATCGGCGTCATCAAAAATTGTGCCTTGGAAAACGAGTTTTTCGAAATGATTTGCATAGAAATGCTGCCTCGCTCGGTTGCAGTTGCTAGAGCGAGAGGGAAAAGGGTGTACCGCCATGATTATTAAAGAAGAAGCAGAGAAGATCTTTGAGTTGGGGATCAAAGGGAAATTCTTTTTGGAGAGATATTAAGGGAGTGGGAAGACGACTGCTCAGACTTTGTGTCTGTGACTGCCATCTTTTCCCTATATATATCTTTTATGATAAATCATATAATACCACCAATCCCATGTACAGACTGTTAGTTTCCAAAAAGCATTATAACAGATCAGGGGAGAGGGTTAGTTATTATTTGATATCATCATGAATGTACGTATGGGATGGATGGGCAGGATCTGCATTTCTAAGTAGGGATGTTCACGGGGGTTGAGGATCAAACAAAGGTTTGATCTTCATTCGCTTGCATTTCATTTTCATTTTTCAAATCATTTTTGTCAGACAACCATTTTGAAATTGTTGTTTTTTTCGAGTAAATCATAAGTGGCAGCTGTTAACCCTTGCCAGGCATTAAAATATTTAGGGTTGCCCTGTAGCTATCATGCAGATTTCTAGTTACATAACACACACTATGTACGTGATGCACTCAGTCGAAAGGAACCGACCTGGAATCGAATCAAATCAAATCAAAATCCGAATCGAAGCGAATTGAATGAAAATTTAATGTACAGTAATCGTGGGACAAACTCAAATGCATAATTCATGCGAAGTTAGGGATTTTTTATTTAAAAGGGTTTGTGATTGTTAAAAAATGGGAAATTGTCTTTAATTGCTGAAAGATTTTAATCTGCGACTAACTCTCTGTTAGCTATTTTAATCGGTTCCAAGGCTAACAAGGTTATATTCTTAAAGTTTACATATAAAATTCTATTCCCTTAAAGTCCCCAATTCATATATTTCCCCATAATTAACCCTTAGGCTAAGTAAAATTCCCGTCGGCAAATCAATGGCCAATCCGAAATCCCAGTTGCGAAAAAGGGCAATCCTTGCTCAAGACAAGCAAGAAGAGCTGCCATAAGAGAAATATGGATAACTAAAAGGAGCAGCAGCACATAAAGGAAAATATGATTGGAGGTCTCAAAAAAAAAGAAAACCGAAAGAAAAATCAAGAAGAAAGAAATACAATAAGGGCTTGCTGCGCTGGCGACGACGTCGACGTTGCTCCGCCTAAAGTTGTCATAATTTGCTATATATTTTTTTATATATATTTTTATTTATTTGCCGATCCGCTGCGCACGTTCATAAAAAACGAAGACGTTTCGCTGTTGTTCTTGTTGTTTTTTTTTTGTTATTTCTCTCTCTGCTGCGACAGAGAGGGAGCGTGGTTAGAGTAGCACAGCTATAGGGGTTACACAAACTAACATTAACTGTTAACATTCGAACTACAGTCTTATACGGCATTTCCCCAGCTGTTAAGCATATTAACAGGGGCCGAGAGCGGCCGAGTGAGAGTGAGAGAGGGAGAAGAGCAGAGAGAGAGCTGCCGCGAATTTTGGCGGCCACTTTGGGGCAACTCCTGTTTTTTTTCACAAACGCTCCCCATTTGCCGCCATTTGCTCTCCGGCCGCGCGGGGGCGCCACTCGCACACTTGCAGTCGCAGTCGCCCGAAAAAAAAGGACATTTCGCTTCGGCTTTTCGAGTTTCTCGCTTGCTCGTCCGCTCGCTTCGGACTCGTTTTCCAGCCCGAGTTTCCGATACGATTCCCGATTCCGATTTCGATTCTTGGCCCCGTAGCTTCAGTCGGCCAAAAAGCAGCCTGCCAGTCGAAGGCTGCCCAGAACTCAGAACTCCAGTATTCGGTACTCTCGAATCCCAAGGATTGCAGTCCCAAGTCTAACGGTACCGCAGTGCGTTTTTATTACCGCCGCCTCCGCTGCTTATATATATATATATATCTATATCTATATGTATATGCGCACACGGACTCGCTGTTGTGTGCGTGCGGGGGGCGGGGGCATGCGTGTGCGTGTGTGTATGTGAGTGTGGGCGGTCGCGCGTGTTTAATTAATCATAAAATCTACGTTAGAAACCGCTAAAGTAAAAAGTAACTCGCCAAAAACAAAAACAAAAGAAAAAACATAAAAACAAATCTAAAAAACAAAAGCAAAATATTTAAGGAAAGAAGGAGAGGGGGTGTGAGTGCGGGAGGGAGATGGCCAGAGCGGGGAGATAATGTGCAATAAACTCGATTTCGGAATAAACTAACTCCTGTGACGAATACTAACGCCCTCCTTTGCCGACGGCATTCGTGAGATACTTAAGCTGAAAAATCAAGAAGATGGTTACTCAAGGATAGGAAAACGGGAGGAAAAGGAGAGAGAAGCGATTTAAATCAAGTGAGTAATTAATATATTTAAGTTCTTTATGGTTATCAACTTTTAAAAAGGTTATTTGATGGAATTTCTCTAACAAGTTACCCAAACTTAAATTTCAAGTTCCTTTTTTTGTTATTGTTGAAGTTTCAATTGGATTTAATGGTTAAAAGTTCATTTTATTGGTAAAAATGTTTATAACAATAAAAAGTTAGTAACAAATTTATCGTTTTATACAGCCATCAGTAAGCACTTTTACTTTAAACTGTGAAAATTGTGAGCAACTTAAGTTTAGTTAAAGGTTTTAGTTTAAATTGAAGTGAGTTTAGGAAAGTGATTTACATTTTGCACTTATTAGATGCAAAATTATTTTTAATTTTAAGTTTATTAAGTGAAGTTAGGCAATATCAAGTAATAATAAATTGATTTCCTATGGGTTACTTCGAGCAGAACTACAGAAACTAAAGTGTTTAAAGAAGGAACTGATTAACAGCTAAACAAAGTTAAAGAGATTTTTAAAGATATTTTCAAGATATATCAAGTGAAAAAATGCTTAATCCATTAGTTAAACTATGACTTAAAGTGAATACATTCATTAGTTAAGAGCTAAGTAACTTAAAGTCTACGTTTAAAGTAAACTCACAAACTTAAAGCTATTAAAGTTAAAAATCAGTTAACAGAAAACTCACATAGCCCCCTAAGGAATGCATGAAATAAAGTGTGTATGAAGTGTTTTGAAATGGAAATTCAAGCATTCAAATTTAAGGGAAATAGTACGAAAATAAGTTCTGTAATATTTCTAATGCTTTTCTCTAAGAACTGTCACAGGTTTCAACCCCATTTTGTGAGGGAAAATCTGACTTTGCTTTTCATTCCCTTCGATAAGTTTGATGCTCATTTGAGTGTGAGGGGAAAACTTTAATTTAAAAGATAAGTAATGTATAAGAAAAACGGGTGATTTATACACAACTTTATGTTCGATTGGTTAAGTTAGTTCTTAGAAACGTTTTAGATTCTTTAATTCATAGTTTAACCTTCTAAGTTCTTATTTCTATAGAGATTCCTGGGCTTAAGGTAGCTCAAAGTCGCTTTCTTTAGTCGAAGAACAACATTTGGGGAAAAGCTAATAAATATATATATTAAAAATAAACCCAGGGTGATATTCTATATAAATCCTGATGGATGTTGACTCCCCTGAACTCCCCACAAATGCATTTGCTGTGGCATATGCACACACACAAACACACGTGCCTTCCGAGAAACCTACAAATTGGGGAGCACATATTGCCCGAGATCGAAATCCAGCCTGGGGCTACTTTTCTATACTGCCCCTCCCCCGCACCCCTCACCAACCATTGCCTAGATTATTTAACTTTGACACTTTATGCGAGGACATGCAACTGCAACAGAGCAGCCCGAAAGTTGCATGTTGAGCTTATGTCAAAGTTAACATAAATACAACTACTTTGTGCCCCAAAGGTGGATGGACGGGGTCAAGGGGCTGCTAGATGGGTGATGGGTGGCATAAGGTCGTTGTTCGCTTCGGAGTCTGTGCCCAGGGATATGACAGGGGGCTGGGGATGTGTGCGTGCTTATGTGTGTGTGTGTGTGCTTGTTATGCAATGACAACAACATGAGCAAGTCGAACAATACCCCAATCCTAACCCCAATCCCAAGCCAATGGAACGAGCAGCAAGAGCATGTCAAGAAGAAAATTAACATAGAAACCAGGAGGAGATGGTAGATAGAGGGCGGGGAAAGACTTCTCAGAGACATGGGCCATCTAGGGTTAAACGAAAAGATGACAGGTGTCAAGTCAGTGTGTCAAAGATAGAGAGATTGCAGGGGCAAGTCAAGATGCAAGTTGCAGTTGCAGTTCAGATACAAAAATATGTATAAAGACATCTGGTCAGTGGCTTCCCCTCCCTTCGCCCCTTTTCATTTATTGTTTTAATTAATTTATGAGTCGCGCGATTTCGTTGCAGTGTGTATTTTCCGAGTTTCCCCTGGCCATAAATTCATTTGTAAAATTCGAAGCGCTTTAGCCAGTCTATCTCTCATTTTTCCCGCCTCCCCTTTGGCTTTTCCCAACCCCTTCGCGCTGCTTTGGGTTTTCATATATTTTGATATAAAATTTATTTTCATTTTAATAATAAATACGCGACGGCTGTTAGGCAAAACAAAAAAAAAAGCAGACAAGCTAGCCGAGCGGATGAAATATTTATTTTGTGTTATGACAGAAATGTGGCCATAGACTGTATATAAAAATGTATCTATCAGATACGTTTTACCTCCCCTTTAAGGCCCCCCTCCCACCATAGTTCTCGGCATATTTTGTAGCTTTTGAATGCGAATATTTGGCGAAAATGTTTTTATTATTCGCAGCGTGATTCTGTAATGTGGGCCATTGAAGCTGCCACAGCGCCCATCCTCGCCTGCGAATTCTATCTGAATCTATATATCAATCCATCTGTTTGCGCCTCCCCCTCCCCTGTAGCCACCACCCCGATCTCTCTTAGATCTTCTCAGATATGCAGCCATATCATGCATTTCTGCATTTGTGAATTTTTCATTTCAATTCCGTTGGCCAATTCAATAAGCCGCATAAATTGAATTTTTATTGGCCAAGTTTATTAGTTGGCTGCCATTCTAACACGGTTAGAACCAGCCCGAGTTGCCTTTTTTATGGCCTTCTGTCGGGGTATTAAACCAAATTCAATTCATATTCATCAAATTCGAATTTGGGCTTGGCCAGCCTTTGCCAAATTACGGAAATGATTGAGGAAAAAGTTAGATTGAATTAATAACCAAATCTATTTGCTAAATTTGATTTTAGTCGGTGATTGGCGGTATGATTAAGGTATCAAATAATCTTATTAAATACTGTAAATGAATATATAAAATAGCTTTTAATATTGATAATTGATCTTAATATAAAGTTTAATAAAAATATTAAAAAAGAGGAGAATTTGATGATTTTTAATGCTGTAATCAATCTAGAAATGAAAACCAATTTATTGCCTGTGTTAAGTAAGCTACAGAAGGGGGTTAAAGGAACAAGCTGAACATTTTCTTTTCAGTTTTTAATATATTGTAGCTAATAATAAACTATTAAACGGTTTTTAGACTGCCTTTAACTACTGAAAAACCTCTAACTAATACCCAAAGTAGTTTAAGTACCAAAAAGAATATCAAACATTGAAAATCGCTAAAAACAGAGCCATTTTACTCACATTTCCTGCCATAATAAACCTTAAATACCAAGTTACTAACCATAACCCGTTCGTTGTCCTTGCTAAGTGCCAAAAATTCAAGCCAAAAGGTGGCTGCTGAAGGCAATTATTTCCCTCGTTTATGAGTAATTAAAACGAAGCAAAGGCGAGACGGGCACTGGCAAAATATCAAAAATGGCCAAGCAAGTGTGGGCGATCAGGTGAGTGAGAGAGAGAGAGACAGAGAGAAACAGAGCAGAAGGGGGTAGACAAACAAGTGTCCAACTATGTATGTGTGCTCTGTAGCTGTGTGTGTGTGTGTGTGTGCCCTGGTACTTTGCATAGATTGTCCACTTTAGATTAAGCCATGAATAATTTATGTGCGTCTCTTATGATTTTAATTGTTTGCAATGGCAGCTTAACAACTCCACCAACCCTTTATTATTCCTTTCAAACGGAAAGAAGGAACAAGGAAGAAGGAGGAGAGGCATAAACGTAGAACGAAAGCGGAGCCAGAAAAACAAAGTAGCGCCCCAAAAGCAAATGCAAAACAATACAAGCTTGAAGTATCTCTGTGTGTGTGTGTGTAACTGTTGGGATATCTGGATTTTAGCCTTCTTCTTCCCAGGCCATTTCATTCATTGCCAGACCCTTCTTCCCAGGCATTTGCATTCCCCACACACAGATACGCACAACTACCAATACATATCTCTATGTATATATCTGTGTGGCGCTTAACCCCCCGCTGGGCTCAACTGGTTGACCGTCGTCTGGCAGCGTTCCATTTCGCTTCCCTCTCAAAAATTATATGAAAATTATACCAATTCAACTCATAAAATTTTTTCAGCTTAATAAATTTAGCAGACATTTTGTAAGGGCAACCCTGGCAGTGGGAAATTGGAACTCTGAACTCTCCTCATTGGCTGTCCCCCCTCTCGTTCATGGACATGTTTTCGTTTTGGGAAGCGAGGCTTTCATGCAAAATGGTCAGTTGCGGAGTGGCCTTAAGTCTCTCTCCCTTCTGACTTCATACTATACATAAATATATATATATATGTATATGTATATAGACTAGCACATCGGGGGAGCGTTAACCAGACGCAGTTGCCTTGCTTAAGCGAAGCTCATAAATTTGCCTCAAACAATTTCCCACTTTTTTTTTGCCTGCTTCTTCAACCGTTTTTATTTCCCATATTTTCTTTAGCTTTTTTTTTTTTGGAAAGTCAGCTCAGTGGGAGGAAAAAGCGTGGGGCTTATGTTCACCTTGCTGGAGTGTTTTTTACTATATAAGCTTGGCATGTGTCAGGTGAAACTGGAGTGGCTATTTATCAACCAATCCTCTGAAATGAATCATGCTACTGCGGGAAATAAGTCAGTATTTATTCGTTTTTAAAATCTACAAAATAGGAAAGGCCATTTTAAGTACCTAACATTTGAGGTATATCTTAAAATATTTTGATATAATTTTGAACTTAGCTATAATTCCTATCGGATCTGTCAGAATCTCGCTAGCCGAAATCCGCCCAATAATGTGATGTACAGACTGGCAGTTGTTCGTGTTCGATCGACGGTTGAAACAACAGACTTCAATCAAGATCTCGCATTGCCACTTCCCTGGCCCCCGTGGAAGACTTCCAAAGTGTCTGTTTACGTTGGGCTCGGGTTCATTCATTCGATGGCTCCTAAAACAGAGCAAACCAATTGGCCCCGGATATATGCACTGGGCCATCAATCAATCAAGCGAATTGCAATGAATTTTGATCAATATCCGCTGAAGACGTTTCGTTGGGGTTGAGGGGAGAAGGGGAAAGAACCAGCATATATACTCAACCATAATTCACGATTTGGCTGAATGATTGACGCCGTGTTGATTCCGGACTTTAGTTGAAAGACCATGCCCGCGAGATCCGAAAGATTTAGAGTTCCTTTCGAGAGGCTGTGGACCACCTGCTGACAGGAAACTTTGCCTATTCCAATTTTCGGTGGGCTTTGCCGTGGAGTGACAAAAGAAATGAAAGCTTGAAAGTTTTTCCTGATGGAATCCCACCGCAGACTTGTGGAACTTCTTCTTAAAGCTCCAAAGCGTCAGAGAGAGAGAGAGGTTTCCTTAGCAATTGCGGAAGTTTTATGTTTTTGGCTGTGCGTAAATCGCTCAAGAAATCAGCTCAAGTGGAATAAGTTGTGGCCTCGGCTCACTTTAGTTTCGGTTAACACTTTCGCCCAGGTCCAGACTTCAGACTTCGGTTCTTCTTCGGTTGAGGGGCCAGCTACTCCTCCACATCTCGCCCTGGCTCCTGCATTAAACAAATTGATTTTCGATGAGCCCATCGGCATTGATAGAAATAGTGGAGTCGATGTGCGTACGTCGATGATTTCGAGTGCGTCGAATCGATATTCTACACGGATACCATTGTATCTCTGCGTCTCTGTATCTGTATATGGCGAGTGTTTACCTTTGCCAATAAATTCTCTTAATTGCCGGGAAATAATCATAAAGCAATCGGCCGTAATGCGGATGGGATACCCGTGCAAGCCTTATTTTCGGTGGCCATCTCGGGGCTTTGGGACTTGCAGGGAGGGAAATTGAGAATTTGTTGCCCTGTTGAAAGTGTAACTCAGAAACGGTGTGGAATTATGTTGAAATCGATTTACTTCGAAATTTATGCGGCGCATACATCCAGCACTTTAGTTGGGATTGGGCAACCAAGCTAGTATATCCCCTCGTCGGGAACTCCCCCAAAGTTGGCCATTCATATTGTATACCATTTCATGTCCGATAGAATGTGTTCAAATTCACAGTCATAGTCGTAGTCGTTCTAAAAATGCCGGCCACCAGGAAGTACTTGGATAACTGGTGCTATCTGGGAGGTCGCTGTGTCCTACTCCTGGCAGGTCGTCGTTTCTTTACCAGGCGGCGATCCAATACCCGGCTAGCTTTGGACTTTCCCAGTTTTAGCACGAGATCAGCTGAAGGTTTCTATACGGATTTTGGAGGAAACAGAAGAAGGGGAAGGGAACATTAAAGTACTCAAGATGCTGGTATCCATTTTGAGAGTACTTACACCTCGATAGCCGATATCTGCCGGCGTCAAGTAAATTAGGTAGAATAATCTGAGAGAGATTCGACGCACAAGCCCAATCATCTGGGTAGGCTGAAAGTTATGCTGAGTGATTCCGTGTAATAAATCAATAAATTACCCACTCTTACGCGATTGGCTCATGCAAAACTCTTTTGGGTTTCCTCCAACCCGGTCAAGAGTCCACGCCAACTCCGTAATATCCAAATTCCCGCTCCAGCCGTGTCGAATCCAGACCGTGGGCTGCTATTAAGTTATACGCGACTAACCATATGCGCCCTGTTCATTTATTCAACGTCTAAAATTGCGACACGCCGCTATTCATATATTCAAAAATTTATCATAAAGTCTGACCGGGCGCTCCTTACGTGACGATCCAACCATATGCATATATCTTGCTAAATAACACTGCCCAACATGGTCTTTGAACTGGATAATGTACCCTGATTTTCTGTATATAAGAAGCCTTCTTAAGATTTCACATTCTGAAAGGTAACTTGATGGTTAGAAAGTTTTTCATTTTAACAAAGTTTTATCTAAACTTAACTTAGATTTGTTAACCAGTGTTACTGTCAGGAAAATAGTAGACATAGAAAGTTTCTTACAAGATTTTCCCTACATTTTCCCCCCTTTCGTTGCCAGGGAGCAGTCCATGAGCAGACCTCGGCGGCAATTGGGATCAGGAGGTGAGCGCTTCCGATCGAGAGGATAATGTGTTCAATATTTCGCAACCGCATCAATTACCGTGGGACTGGCGGCACCAGGAGCGGCAGCGGTGAGCGGGAGAGGGACCGGGATCGAGACAGGGAACGGGATCGTGATCGGGAAAGGGATAGAGACGCCCTGCTGGCCAAGGAACTGGATGCGGATAGCAATAACAATGGCACCGAGCCCCAAATGGAAACGGAAACGGTGCCGGAATCCGATACGGAAAGGGAAATGGCTGAAGAGAACGGCGAAGATCAGGAATTGGAGAACAGCAATGAGGCTCTGGACCTATCGCTGATCTCGTCCAGCGGCCGGGAATCGCTGCCGGGCAGTGGTCACGTCTCGCTGGAGGCTCTACAACATACCAAAGTGGCGGTGGCCCAGTTCGCGGCCTCTGCGATGGCGGGCAACCATCAGCCCGCCGATCTGGCCATGGTACAGTCCACCATCTTCAATGTCCAGCGGCAGCATCTGATGCAGCTGCAGCTCATCCAGCACCTGCAGAGTCAATTGAAAAGAGCCGAGGCAGCCGCCTTGGGCAGGCAATCTCACAGTGACGAGGAGGAGGACGAGCCGGAGCCCAAGAAGCAGCCTACCAATGGCGAAAAGACGGAAGAGGAGGAGGAGGAACCGGAGCAGAGTCCCGACTTAGAGCAGGATGTAGAGCCGCGTCGGGAGGAGAATTCAAAGACTGACAAGAGAGGGAACTGAGGACAGAAAGGCGGAGCCGGAGAGCTACCAACCCATGATGTGCGACATCAGCTCGAGCCTGGCCTCGAGCATCATCACCAACCACGATCCCCCGCCAGCTCCCAACGAGCCCAACTGCCTGGAGATGCTGCAACGCAGAACAGAGGAGGTCCTCGACTCTGCTTCCCAGAGTTTGCATGCTGCCCAGATGCAGGAGGAGTACTCGGAGTATGCCTCCAAAGAAGCTCAAAGTCGCGGTGAGATTTTCAAGCATCGCTGCAAGTACTGCGGGAAGATCTTTGGCAGCTACTCGGCTCTCCAGATCCACCTGAGATCGCATACTGGGGAACGTCCATTCGTTTGCAATGTCTGCGGGAGTAAGTTCACCACGAAAGGCAATCTGAAGGTCCACTACCAGCGTCACACGCAGATCTTTCCACCCATGCTGCTGCCACCAGGAGTAGCGCCCAACATGGGGCATTCGGGTCAGGGTCAGGCTCAGGCCGAGCAGTATCCCATTCGGCTGCCTTTTGTGCCTCCAGTGGCACCAGCAGGTCAGGAGCAGGTTCAGCAGCAGGTGGAAGACCCGGAGGAGATCAGGCAGGAGATCCCAGTGCAGCAGGCAGAAGATCTCAGCAAGCCGGCGGTGAAGGAGAAGGAGAAGTCCCACTCTCCCGTGGAGCGTGTCAAGACCCCCAAAGAGGTCAAGCCAGAGGTTCAGCAGCCGTCACCAGAGAAGCCTGAAAAGGAGGTCTCCAAGCCGGCGGTAACCCCATCGCGACGAAATGGTTCTGTTCGCAAGCGCCAGACAAGCAGTGCTGGGAGTCCTCCTCAAGAGGACAGGGAACGAGATCTCGCCGAGCACTTGCACATTGCCAAGCTGGTGAGACGATCCTCATCCAGCAGGGAATCTCAGCCGGCGGAGTACTCCCTAGCCCAAATGGAGCGCATCATTGACAAGTCCTGGGAGGATCTGATTGAGATCGACAAAACCTCGGAGACGTCGAAGCTGCAGCAGTTGGTGGACAACATCGAGAACAAGCTGACCGACCCCAACCAGTGTATCTTCTGCCAGAAGGTCATGTCCTGCCGCAGCTCCCTTTGCAGATGCATATCCGGACTCACACTGGCGAGCGTCCATTCCGCTGCAAGATCTGCGGCAGGGCCTTTGCCACGAAGGGCAATCTGAAGGCCCACATGAGCATACACAAGATCAAGCCGCCGATGAGGAGCCAGTTCAAGTGTCCTGTATGCCACCAGAAGTTCTCCAATGGCATCATCCTGCAGCAGCACATTCGCATCCACACCATGGACGATGGTAGCGGCGGGCAGGGAGCTCCTCCCGGAAATCCTGGCGAGGCTGAACGGTTAGGTATCGAAGATCAAAACTCAAACAAGTCACTGGGAACTTCGGACACCCTGGATTTCTCCACCACCATTTCGGATCACTCCGGTCAGAGATCTGAGTCTTCGCAGGGTGGAGACTTCGATGAGTTCATGACCATGGACAGTACTGATGACTCTAGGGACAACTCCAGTGCCGCCACAGCCACTCCTCATCCTCTGGAAAGGGAAAGGGACAGAGAGAGGGAACGAGAACGAGAACGGGAGCGAAGGCTTCCCAATGATGGCTCCGATGAGAGATCTCATTCGAATCCCGATCTGGCCGGTGGACGCAGCGAGAGTGGGGAAATGCCCGCCATGGATCTCTCCTCGCCATCTTCAGCCTCTGGTCGTATCTTTGGAACTGGTCTGGCAAATGGAGCTGCTGGCGGAGGATCCGGAAGCGGGGGCCTTCCCATGCTCGGAATGCCCATGCCTCCGAATCTCCTGCTCATGGCAGCTGCCCGCGAAGAGATGCATGCTCTAGGCCACGCCCACGCCAAGTTTCCCCTGCTGCCCTTCGGTCCACTTGGATTTATGGGTAAGTTAATAACATTTGTATATATATATCTTGATAAATAAGATCTCATAGCTATATAATGATAAAAGTTAATCGCTTGTTAAGAACTTCAATTGGGATTTTATCAATCAAGAGGAAACTTACTTTCCATGGGTTTCCCATTCAATCCCATTGCTATACTATATGGTTCTCCTATTGAAAAGTCCAAAGATATATAAATAAATCCGGCAAACTGCGCATCTCTTCCACGCCGCAGTTGGCATTAACTCTCCTCTCGACTGCGAGATGACAAAGCCTCTTTGTCTGCCACCTTTGACCCCGTCAGCGTTTGCCAAGCAGCTCGGAGCGGATGAGTGCGATAAATCTGCGATCTGGCCGCGACATAACTCAATTGGACCGAGACAAAGCATCCGCGTGAGCACTTCGCACCCAGCTCCATGCGAATCCCAATCCCAATCCATGTCTGATATGCCTATGCCAAAAAATTCCGCAATTTATTTATAAACATTGGCGCATTCCCGGATCGAGGCCCATGCGATCGAGTAGCGATCTGTCGCCTCATTATGTCACAACCTTTTACGCGGATGGATATTTATTATATCCGAGATCGTGGCGAACGACATTTGGTGGCACGCGTGCCGGGAATTATGTGTCCCCCACTGACCTCGCGAGTAACTCTTTGTCTGCATCCCGCCCCCTCATCCGCAGGTCTGCACCCGCCCCCCAATGTGTGCAATCTCTGCTTCAAGATGCTGCCCAGCCTGGCCGCCTTGGAGAGCCATCTGCAGAGCGAACATGCCAAAGAACCGGCGACGGGCCACGCCCACCGCCCACACAGCAGTGATGCCGGATCGCCGTACGGTGCCAAGGTGAGTGCTAACATTTATCGTTTAAGTCTTTGATGAAGTCTAGAGGAATGTCATAATATTAATGGGTATTAAGTTATTAGAAATATGAAATATTATATCTCAGACTTGCTACTTTCTCTTACTAATTCACTGAGTTTCCCTTTCCAATGCCACTCACTAATCACTTCCATAGTCAGCCAGGGAGCAGCATTCCCTGCCCCAATATGGGAGCACTTACATCACATCCAGCCAGCCAGCCATCCAGCCAGCCTAATCCCACCTCAACTCTCGCTTTGAGAACCAGTGCCATCTGGCAGTAGAGAGTCCAAATCGATTCCTTGCTCATGATTAATTAAAATGTTCACGGGTTCAGCTAGCTCCTTGATTTGGCCAAATATGGACGGGGCAGAGCCCGTTTTGGCCACAACCATACAAATTATGAGCACATTATTAATTGCCCGGCGTGTTCTCTTGTCACTGACTGGGCCTTATTATGAAGAAATTGTGGCCAACTTGCATAGCTTTGCCTTAATTGTTGGCGTTCCGCTTTGCGTCCTCCACTTGGCTTGGTTTGCTGGAACCGCAGACCCAGACTCGCAGGTTCATCAGAGAGAAAGAGCTGGCTTTAAGTGCCCGGATTACATCGCCCAACAATGCCAATTATTTATTAAAGTGCGTGCCCTGCCTGCCCACCCCCCATGCCCAGATGGAGTGGTTCTGCTGTGGCTGCCCATAACTTTAGTACAAATGCTAGTATTAATATTTATTTCTGGCCGGGGCACGCACTGCGGCATTGTCTCTCTATGACTAATGACATCGTTCATTATGGCTTACATTCTTGGAGTATTTCCAAAATTGAAACCGAATGTCTCGGCACAGGAGCGAAATTTCAGGGGCCCATATACAGTATTCAGAGTTTGAAGAATATTAGCGAGTATTTTTTTGTATAGCTAGACTTTGAAATCAAAATCTTGGCTACTTAGTTAAAATTTGAAAAATTTAAATATTTTTATAGGAAGATTCCCCACTGAACCGCTCCCTTGTTGCCTCATTGTGGTCTAAAAGCAAGTGCAGTGTAAATGTCATAACATTTTCAGTTGGTAATCAGCAAGTTTCCTCTGTGCTCCCCCTTTTTCCCCTTGGCCACGCCAGCGGAGGAGCAGCAGACAGCCAGCATTTGTACTTCTTTGGCTGAGGACCGGCCACGTTCCGTTTTGCTCGCTTAGCACATTGTTGATGATCTAGAGCAGACTCTACAGCAGGGATCGGGAAGGAGAAGTAGGGTTAGAGATAGGGATAGGGATAGGAAGCTAGGGGAATCTGGGAATCGGCATCATCTTTTGGGCTTGAAATTTCTAAATGATTCAAAAATCTTAAGTAATTACGAGAATGCATTATGATGATGCGAAATTTACGACTCCGTCTGGTATGTTCTCCGGATTGGGATGAAAACTGTTGAAGGGGTGTCAGAGAGGATAGGGGTTAGGGAATGAGGGATAGTTGGAGAGATATAGAGGAGCCTGTGCCGGATCGGTGACGGTGTGTGCGATGCATTCAATGCAAATAAATTATGCTACGCTTTATGCAAAATTATTTAATCTTTTGTTCGTCGCGTCTGCTGGGGACACCGAGAGCACTATCCTACGAGCATGTAGTTTCTGTAGTTTATATTCACATACCCCTCCCCTCGTACAGAATCCCCCTCTTTCGGCGAACAATTGTTTTGCCATAAAAATATGAGACCCGGCGGCATCGTCTGCCCGAGATAATTAGTTGGCATTATTACACGCGATGGCATAGAAAAATTGTAAATTATGTTTTTGGCTTTCACTCTCTCCTCTCTGACTCGCCTCTCTCTCCACGAAAATGAGATTATTAAGAGGCGCGAGTCCGCTGCTGCGGCGGGATTAACGGCACATTTAACTGAAAATGCGCAGAAATTAGCGCCCGTCGCGAAAGTATCTCGCCCTGTAACTTTGTATCTCATCGCATTTCAGCTCACTCTCAATCCAAATCTGTTTGCAAAGAAGCCGCCTTCGTCGTTGCCGTCGTCAGCGGGTGACAAGTTGCCGGAGCCAGCAGCCCAGCCCTTTCCCACTGAGAACCCCCCAGCGACGCCCATCAAAGAGGATCCCGATCAGGAGCCATCCATGGTGGAAGAGGGTGCTTCGGCTGGAGAAGGATCTGGCACTGGAGCTGCCTCGAGCTATCCCCAGGAAGCAGGTGATGCTGAGCAGTCCCTGATGAAGATGCAGCTCCGTAAGTTGCTTTTAAAAACCATTCTAAGCATCTGTCCGCAATCCCAAGACTCTCTTTCCCTTAGATGCCCATCGCTTTCCCGCCAGTCCTCTTGACTTTCAGCAGGCCCTGATGTCCGCAGGTCCTCCCACTTCCAGCTTGGATCCTCCGGTGAATAACAAGCACTTCTGCCACGTCTGTCGGAGGAACTTCAGCTCCAGCTCCGCTCTTCAGATTCACATGCGCACCCACACCGGGGACAAGCCCTTCCAGTGCAATGTGTGCCAAAAGGCCTTTACTACCAAGGGGAATCTCAAGGTACTACCAGGGGATACTCCCTTTTTTTTTAGCTATTAAACTCACCTGGCTCCTCCTTGATTTGTTAATCTTTTCAAGGTGCATATGGGCACTCACATGTGGACGAATCCGACTTCGCGGCGAGGTCGTCGAATGTCCTTGGAGCTACCCATGCGTCCTGGTCCCAACTCGGGCCAAGGTCATCCCGGATCAAGTGCTGAACAAGAGTTCATGCAACGACGGCCGGAGCTCTTCTTTCCCTACCTACCACCCTTCTTTAACGGACTGCCACCAAAGGTGAGAAAAGAAAGATTTATTTTGGGGAGTCTTTAATTTCTTTTAAGGGGTTTTTCTAATATGATGATCTCTTTTGGTAACCCATCTAATTAGTGCCCTTTACCTTCCCCTTACTTTCTATCTATTTCTCAGCCTGGTGAACTAAGTCCCAGCGCCTTTCCCAATATTCCCCCGCCGCCCTTCGCCAATGGCGGGAAGTATCCTTATCCGCCCGGACTATTGGGCTTTCCAGGATTTCTCGCCCAACATCCCTATGGACTAGAGCGGAGGAGCAGCAGCAAGTCACCCACGCCAGAGCCAGCCCAGAGTCCTTCTCTCAGGGAGGACGAAGGTTCCGGCAATATCTGGCATCCACTGAGTCGCATTAAGGTGGAGAACAATCAAAACGAGGGCTTGGGCGGATTCAACGAGCAGGAGGATCAGGCCGAGGCAGAGGCGGAGGCCACTGGAGGAGGAGGCGACAACGAGGAGTCGGAGTCTAGAGATGCGGAGAAGTAACTGATGATGAGATCTTAGTCTTGGAACACACATGGTTTTTGTGGAGTACATATCTTGAGCATTACCCTACGCTAAGCTTCAACTAGCACTGACACGAACTCAAACACCCAACCCCCCAAACTCACACACACTTATACGAATATATCCTTTGTGTCTATACATATATATATATATTTAGATATATATATATAGTACGGTTAATTGATAGCGATCTTCAAGGCATTTAAATGCATTAAGTTTAGCCGGTAAGTTGTAAAAATAGCAGATCGAGGAAGGAACTTGGAGGAGTCTCCAAGAGAGTCTCCTCAACCGGATCAGGCAGGCTGCGAGGTCAGAACTTAACTAATTTTATGGCTATACCTAGATATATTTAAAAACATATACCGATAAATACACGTAATGTAAACTGTGGTAGTTGCATATAAAAACAAAAATTGAAATCTAAAACCGAAAACCGAAAAAAACCGCGACAAAAATGATCAAAAATAAAGCCGGCGTGCAAAATTGCAAAGAAAATTCAATGACGTTTCTCTTCCGGGAAGTGGGCAGCATTCCTTTCGAGGGCTGGGAGGATCGAGAATCGCTTCAACGATGGATTCAATAAATTCATGCAAATTGGCAGCTTTGGTAAGTGCGCGCCTCCTTCGATCGTGCCACATGCCACGCGCAGGCCATTCATCATCCCCATACCCTTCGAAAAGACGCCCTCGCCTTGGGATTGCCACTCCCAACAGATGTTTTCATTTTTGATTCATTTGCCCAGACAAGTTTTGGTCAAAGTGTTGCCTCTCTCTGTGTCGCAATACTTTTAATTATTCCCTTGTCATGCCGGCAGTGCCTCTTCCCGCGACGACAATGCAACAAATAATAATTTCTAGACCGCAACAACTTGATGTCGCCGCGAATTATAAATGTTCGCCAAATATGACAGCCGCTGTCTGCCAAAACAATAGACTCGACCCGATGCACTCGAACCGGTTTCGCTGGGTATGTGGTGTGGCACAGTATGTGGGGCACAGGGTGAGAAATAAATGCCCCATGAAATAATCGCGACTAACAGCAATTGGGTGCGGATTTAAATATCAAAAAGATTTATTTAACAGTTCACAAACTAGGTATTTGTTATAAATCTTGTCAGGTTTATAACTTAGAAAGAAAAATATCTTGGTAAAAGTCTGAGTTTTCCGTCTTCAGATTTATTTGACTTAAACTACGACTCATTTATGTAACAAATGGAGGATAATTAATAAATGCAAAACTGCAAGCTGTCTTAGATTTAAGATTCCTGAGATGGAATCCTTTCTCTTCTTACCATTTTCCATCAGCCAGTCTCTTCTGAATTCCAGCCATCAACTTTGCCTCAAACACCTCCAAAGATTGCAACCCTCTGCCTTGGAAACGCAACACAAAATGCTGTTTTGTTGGCAATTCCATTTTCCACAATGTTGCACTTTTCCCGAGAAATTTAGCTCATTTCATGGGCGCACATATTTCATATGCGGCCGTAAAGTGTCTCGAATGAGGAAAATGGGAAAACTGTAAAGGGAGGGAGGGATCTGGGACTATTAACAGCCCCACGGCTGGAGCCATTAACTCTGAACTGAGAAGGAGTAGATGGCGGTGGCTAACGAATCCGGCCTCCTGCATCGAAATGAACGATGAGAAATTGTGCCATGTCTGGCCGAGATCCCTGGCTAAAATTTCAAGATCACGCCGATGCGCAGACATAATTTTCATGATCATAATTCCGCCCGTCGGGCTGGCAGCCGTCCGGGCATCTTAATAACCTCATTTCATTGCTAGACCTGCCAGACCCACAAGACCTGCTCTTCGGGCTGCATTATATTTATTTTGCGTGCAATTTGTTTGATCTGTGCGGGTAATTAACTCTGTCTGCATGCAACGCGTCGTCCGAAAACGGTCTATGAATAATAACCCAGCCCCAAAACTCCGAGGGGAACTCTCATATATATTTTCACGATCCCGGGGAATTATGATTTTTCGTTTGATGGCCACCGAGAGAGAGAGAGCAAGGAAGGCATACCGTGGCGAACTTTGAAGTGTGTCTAATTGGGCGCCAGTTAAGCGGCCTCGGAGTGTCCACGAGTATCGCAGATTGATTAATATCTTTGAGATACTTTTGTTGATATTTTTACTTAACTACTTTACGACGTAAACTTAATCCCATACGTATAAGCTTACCTAATTGGACGCCTTGGAATGGAAAGCGATGGAAGCACCGTTAGAGTCCATGGAAAAGCCACTGCAATCGACACTGCAGTTTTATTGATATGAAAATGGAAATGGGAATGGTCTCTCGTCTCCAGAGAACAAGCGGCCATCGTGTAGCGCGTTTTATGGCACCCACAAATTCCGTGCTAATTGTTGCACCGCGAAACCAAACTGGTTTCCAGCTCAGGGGCCAACGATGGCATATTGCAACCGCCTCCCTCGAGTAGTTTGCTTCAATTTTGCCTCAATTATTTCGCTTGTTTGTTTATGGAGGAATCTTTAATCTCGGCGCTGGTGTCGCTGGAGTCAGCCTTGACTCCTTGACTTGCCTTGGCTCCTGCTGCCGCTCACATGCGTGGCCAAGATCTAGACAACACCTACGATGGCTACGATGGGTGAAGGGAACCCGTCCTTATATCTATGATCGTCCATGGAGAGGTAACAGATGCAGGAGGCGAAGCAGGAGGAGGTAGCTTGGTGCTGGACAAGTGTTTCGAAAAATGGATTATTCATGTTGTCCTTGCCAGGCATTCGGCGGCTTTTGCTCTGCCTGTTGCCGGCCAATGTTGCTGCTGAAGTTGTTGCAAGTTGCAAGTTGTTGTGCCTCATGTGCTTCGATCCCTCTGTTGTGCCGTTGTCATTGTCTTTGAGGTTTCTGTTGTTGTTCTGGATTGAGGATCGCTGACTGGTTGAGTTCTCTTCAAGATGGAGTCGCCGATTGTGGGATGGACTAGTGTGGGTTTAGGGAAAGAGTTTTCTATTTATTAAAGAGCTTCTTATAACTATTGAATTTTCCATAGTTACCACAGAACTAACTATGCTTTTCACTGATCTTTATCAAGGAAATCATTCTGATCCGTAAATAATCTTCCCATCCACTATCAGCGCCCTCGAGTGGCTGTATTTATCCATCGGGGCTAAATATATCTGGCTCTCTGCCGCAGCCACATAGAGCTGGCCCTAATAAATTTATAAAGCCTGATATTATCGCGGCATCGTAATCGTAACTCACTCCCCTCGACCCGCCGATGGAGTTCCAGTTGGAGTTGCAGATAGAGGCGGATGAGGCGGTGGCATCATTTGCATTTGAAGGAAACGATGCCACACGCACATGGAGGAGTCAGATGGGGAGGAATGGTATCTTTATAAGAAGCGTTATGGGCATCATAATGAGGATGTTCAATTGCAGCTCACGGCGAAAGGCATTCCCAGATCGATTCTAATTTCGAAGCGTTTAGGTGTGAAAATACCTACAACGCAGTCGGTGGATTGATGGAGGCGCTGAAAATGTGGATTCGGGTTTTGGGCAACCCCAACTCCAGCCCCATCCATCTGTCTATGTGTCTGCCGTGGCACATGAGAGATGCTGCCGAGTCTGGCTGTCATTAGCGGTATTCAAATCATAACATAAATACACTTGTCGTCTGTCGAGGGCTCTTTCCATTCCATTCCGCCTTCCCATACCCCGAGAGGATTATGACAGGGCCAAAAGGGGGAGTCTGTCTGTCTGTCTAGCTGGCTGCCTGGCTGTCTTCTGGCTTCTGGCAACTTGTTGGCTGCATTTCATTTTGATAACTTGTCAAAATAGTCTGGAGCCCTCGAGTGGCATGATAAATGCGGCCAGACAGCGCGAAAGCCACTGACAAAGTGTTGAATGCCTCTGCCACTTTATTATTGCCATTAAGTGAGTGCCGCCCTCTTTGGCTGGCCTTGGCAGTTGGCTTTACGACCCAGCTGGGTGGTTGCATATGCAACTTTGGTGGCATAAACTTGTCAGGCAATGTCATAAAATCTCCCACCTTCTTCCACCCTGATCAAAAATCGAACAACCCACCTCCCTCCCCCAAAAGTCTTATTCCCTTACGTACGGAAGGCCCAAATATCGTTGTAATATTTGCCAAAATTATTTGCAGGTCAGCGTCTATCGATTCGCCCAAAAGAGCAAATCAACACTCAGAGAAATAAGCTACCTACTTTAACTTGAAATTAGTCTTAGAAAACTTTAGACTTACTTCAGAGTTAACTCATAATGTCTTGGTTGAAATCAGCAAAAACTATACTAAAGCACTTTGATTTCTTCATCATTTTCTTTGTTAGAAATCCCTTTTTACATCCTGTAAGCATTTCTCTGAGTGTAGAATAGCCAGTCCAGCCCCCAGCCCTCGCCACTTACCTTAATGTGCCGGACTGATTGGAATATGATATCGGAATCGGGTTTTATGGCGGCTCAGCTTTTATTTATTTACAAGTCGAATTTCGACCTCTCAACTCTCCCGGGACGCATCCCATAGTCCACCCTCCGCCCTCGGCCCACTGCCCTGCCCACCACTGGCAGGTTCAACTAATAAAGTCCTCTCGTGCCGCCGCTTCTTCTTTTTGCGGGACATGGCTTAATTTGTTAGACGTTATCGCTTCCGCTTAAAGCCAACTGCCGGCGAGTGCAACAAAATGCATTTGCCAGTTGCAACTGCAACTGCAGCAACTAGTTTTGGCCTTCGAAAAGGGGCGGGGACGACGGCAGGGGCAGTGGCACGGTCACGTGCAGCGTGCAATAAGCGAAACATATTCGCATGTTGTCCGATCGAAGCAGCCGCGTTATCGATACTTGCGTGGCCTTGGCGACCGGCAGGAAAACATTGATATCGATGTGGACACGGATGTACGGACGGGTGTATATCTATGTTTATGTGTAAGGCCGACTTTTGTTGTTGTTTACTACTCCTTACTCTACTCCTCAGATTAACAATCGCAAAAATATTAATTAACAGGAAAGGATTTTAAATAGGTAGAGTTTTTAAAGGAAAACTGATGCCAAACAGGATGGATTTTCCATTTCAAACCAGAGAGTTACTTCTCTTATTTGTTGTTCAGTCTATCTCCCCATAAAAACTAAGCATTAGAAGGAAATTCAGTGAGTGCGCTACTCCGCGTCCTAAACAACATCTCAATCGATGCCTCTGGTCAAGGGGAAAACTCAAAGGGCTCGACCTGGCCAGCTTGAGAGGTTTTTCCGCCGCAAAAGGAGATCACCCAAGGGGGAAAGGGAACGCTGGAGATGGATGAGCGGACAGGGAGAAGAAAAAAACAATGAAAGGAACATAAATTGCATATGAACCTGCAGCCAAGTCGCAGTTGGCTGCACTCCATATCATTCGGCGACTTCCTGCTCCACCATGTTTCTTGGCTTCCTCCAGCTCCTTCGCCTTTTCCGGCTGCGCTCCACTTGTCGCTGATACTGCTACTGCTGCTGCCGTTGTC